TATCATTAGAGATATTTATTTTCTTCATGATGAGGATGCCATTCATAGAGATTTGCATTCAGGAAATATATTACACTACAAATCTAACAATGAGTGGTATATTGGTGATCTCGGATTTTGTGGACCTGTTGATAAACCATTAGGAAGCATATATGGAAATCTTTCTTATATTGCACCAGAAGTAATTTTTGGAAAAGAATGTACTAAAGCATCAGATATTTATAGTATGGGTATGCTTATGTGGGAAATTTCAGCAGGACAACCACCCTTTGCCAATTTTGATCATAATTATGATCTTGCCATGAATATAGTAAATGGAATGAGACCAAGGATTGTATCAGAAACTCCATTAGAATATAAAAAGTTAATGAAACAATGTTGGGATGCTGATCCATTAAAAAGACCTGATGCTAATACTCTTAATAATAAAATTTTTGAAATTTATAAATCATATAATAATTATGAAAATGAAGAGCGTCATAATATTAGTAATAATAATAATGTAAAATAAACAACAAACTTTAATACGAGCTCTAGTTCAATTAACTCAATAGCAAGAATGTTTAGCAAAGTTCATATTTTTGAAGATCTACCTGAACCAAGAAATGCTACTAAAGGTAATCAATTATTTTATCTATTATCTTCATAATTAAAATTTGGTTATAAATTAAAATTTTTTAAATTAAATTAACAGAAGAGCAAGAAGTTTGTAATTTAAAATTTTTAAAATATTAAAGTAAAGTTTAATGTTAATTTGATAATTTCTTTATAAAAAAAGCTTATGACAGCAAGCAAAATAGTCTTAATATTCCGGATGGTAAGTAATACTTGTTTATACGTATTCAATAAAAAATTTATTAATTAATTAATTTAAAAAAAAAACCAAAGAAATATCTAAAGATTATATTCAACAAAACGCTGCTACATCAATTATTAGTAAGGATAGATATTGTAATATTTTGTTTCGGAATTCAACTTATATTATTTAATAATTTTAATCTTTATCTAATTAATATTAACAGACAAATCTAAGAGGGATTCTTCATATCTTCATGACGGTAATGAGTCATTTCGTTATTTAGCTAACATTAAACTTTTCATTACAATTTATTTTGTTTTTATTAGAAAATCAAGAAGATTTAAAAATTAAATCAAAAAAGATAAAACATGTCATCAATGATAAAGGTATTTATTTATTTGTAAAGTGTAGTTTAATTCTTAGTCTATTTTAACTATAAATGATTCTTTTAGGAATTAATTATACAAATGATGAAATTTGTACGAATTATGTACCAACAAGTTGTATGTCGAGTGATGGTAAGGGACTGATAAATATTATTACGTTTTACCGAAATTATAATTTAATCATTTTAATCTCATTAGATAATGATGAAATATATAATAATTCAAATCTTCATTCAGAAGATCAATATGATTTAGTGATTCCTGAAATTCCTGAAGGTAAAATCAATTAACTTTATTAAACTAATTTTAAACAAAAATATAATTTAGGTTTAAAACAGAATAATTTATAACATTTTTGAAATTATATTATTTATCTAAAATTACTTAAAGACTAGAAGTTTTATTAAAAAGTTCATATTTCGATTTTTATATTTTATAATGTATGTAATTATTTAAACATAAAGATATAGAGTAGCAATTATAAAATTTGCAATTATCTTAAATTTAATAAATAAATATAACATTATATAATAATTCAATCTTTTTATAATAAATGCACCTATCAACTAAGAAAATATGAATGTTACTGTATATTGAAATTTCATCATTAGAAAAAAAACTTTGATAAATATTGTATGTAACGCTAAATGCAATTTTGTTTTTTAACGAATTTATAAATTATGTCATAGAAAATTCTCCGTCGCGTCGTTATGTGTGACGCTCGATATTTTAATTTTGTGATTAATACATATTATTTTATTTTTTAAAAAAAAGTCGACTGAGGAGCATAGTAAAAGTAACTTCATGAATTAACTGATCATATAATAATAACAAGGCCTTATATGATATGATTAATATAATTTGGCCGCGAAGTAATTTGTCACGGGGAGAAATATGATTGTAAAAGCTATTAAATTATATGAAAAATACTTAAAAATATTATATTATCATTTTCCTTATTTTTTATTATATATATAAGAACTATTATTAAATGTATATGCAAAAAAGTATAATCGCGAAGTTGAATGTAATAGTTTTAATATTTATATATACATAGTGCATAGCGGCTAAAAACTTTCTAAACGAAAAAATGATAACGAAATTACATTTACTAAGTATTCATTAAATTCATTCTAACATTCGCGCACGCGAGTGAATTGTATAACGTTAAAGTATTTTATTTTTATTTTTTAAAAAATGCTATAAAGATTGTTATTTTTGACTTTATAAAAGAGTGTAATTTGACTGTGACATAATAAAAAATGTAAGTATGTCAGGATAAATATTGTAAATGAAAAATAAATTAAATGATATTTATGAGAAATAAAAATATTTATAATAGTCAGGGCCGAATAATTATACCGTAACTTCACGGGTTATCAGAGATTACCTGTGTTATTACTCTAAATAATTTCATATTTATTTGGATGATGACAAACAAAAGCTTGTTGTATTTGAATCAACAATATTGCGGTGCCATAAAATTTTAATAACCTGTAATATAATATACTCCATTAAAAATACATACGAGCAGTTAAGAAATCTAATTTCTCGATGAAGACAAAAAAGCTTTGGCAGAAATTTTCACTTCGCAATGCTTTTCATTTTCCAAGAGAAGCTTTAGTAAGGTCAGGAGATGATTAGTTTTTATTGTATTTGATGTAAACGAAATGGTAATTGAAATATAATAAATAGTAAGATTTTATTAATAAAATACAAAGGATTTCAACTATTGCTCAGCCGGCGCTTTATAATAAGCTTCAAAGGAAAAGAATTATTCTAATCTAATCCTATCGAAAATATGAAGCGAAACAAGCTTCTTTTATAACAAATGTTCTTTCCTAGGGCTTTGGCACGGATTCTCTTAAAATTATCAATCAATCGCGGCGGCTTAGATATGGATAGTCAAATTAATATGATCCTAATGACAGAAATGAACGAAATATCATTAAGTCCAAATCTGCAGATGGTCAGAATAGCCCGAAATGTCAGTTATTGATCCATTTGATTTTGGATTGCTTATTACTTTTTAACAAGAAATTTTATAAATTATACTGTATGTATTGAATTCTAATTAATGGTGGCGTAAAATCGGCGGCATTAAATTAATTCGTGAATGATACTTCGGCTGTATTAAAATTCGAATCGGGACTATCATTTTATGTCACGAGTCCTAATTTCTTAAAACCTGACCCAGGTGACCCGAATCATCATTGATGTATATAGATAATATGCGCGAAACTATGACATATAATGATGTAATTTATCACCAAAAAGTTACAAAATCCATTGACGTACTAAAACATTAGTTACTGTATCGTATATTTGGAGGTTTATCATACATTAATAAAAAATTACAAACTATCAGACTTCGCGCCATATGATTTGCAATGAACGATTTTTAGCATGGCTAGTTTTATTTTGTATTTAATTACATTAAATTAGGCATTTGATCATTTCATCAAAGTTTGAAAGGAATTTGTTAAATTTCACATTTTATGATAATAAGATACCTATCCTTTGATTTGATAAAAATAAGATAACAAAATTATTTGAAATATTAATCTGGTACTTTATTTATTTTTATCTTATAGAGTTTATAACATCTTATTGAATAACCATGAGGAAAGCAATAAATGATGAAATAAAGTGTTTTTGTCGATGGAAATTCAACAAATGATTTTAAGTTTGAAGGTGTCGTTAAAGGTAAAACCGAAAATTTATGTCAAATACAAACTTTCAGTTAATCCATTATCAAATATATTTAGCTATTTAGCTTCTTTACTCGGATAATCGAACAACAAATTTTCCTGGCACTACAGACAGAATTAGACTCGGACGGTGATTTAGAAGTTCGCAAAACAAGCAATGAAAGATAACGTTGTTAGTGATAGTCTAGTTATGACGCATTAGTACTGCGCCAATTACAATTAGCGAATGATGATCCCGTCGAT